ACTCCCCATCGTGCTGCTGCCAGCAGAACTTGGCATGTGTTACCACAGTGCCTTCTCCGGGAAAATCGGCAGAATTACAGCCATTTGCTCACACCTGAACCAGAGCTAATTTAGGATTGTCATGGTTTAACCCYGGCTGGGAGCTCAGCTCCACTCGCTCACACCCCCACAGTGGGATGGGGGAGAGAAGTGGAAGGTAGAAGCGAGAAAACTCGTGGGTTGAGGTACCAGGAGTTTAATGGGTAAAGYAAAAGCCACGTGCACAAGCAAAGCAAAACAAGGAGCTCATTCCCCACCTCCCACAGGTGTCCAGCGATGCCCAGGAAAGCAGGGCTCCATGTAATGGAAACACAAACACCACTAACCCGAATGTCCACCCTTTCCTAATCACGATTAAATACATTATGGAATATTTTTGGTCAGTTTGGGGTCAGCTGTCCTTGCTCTGTCCCCTCCCAGCTYCYTGTGCCCCTCAGCCTCCTCAGTGGTGGGRTGGGRTGAGGAGCAGAAAAGCCTTGGTTTTGTGTAAGCCCTGCTCAGCAATAACAAAAACATTTCTGTATTWTCAACACTGTTTTGGTGACAAATCCAAAACTCAGCCCCAGAGCAGCTACTCTGAAGAAAATCAACCTGGCCCAGCCCAAACCAGCACAGGGGTGCAAAACGATGCAGCATGTTGGAGATTTGGTAGGAAGAACAAAGCCCTCCTGTATGCACAGATTTTTATAGGATTTGTTTTCATGGAGGTGCCCAGTGGCTGAAGTAGATTGTGTTCGTGAAGATCTTGATTCCCAGCTCAGTGATGCACCTGGGATGCAGTTCTGTCCAGGTMTCCCACCCTCAGGCACCCAGCGATGGATGTGAAACCCCCCAGGGATGATGATAATGAGTCCGTTCTGCCCATTTACGCCCTCCATCACCCTCCGAAAATCACAGCCTGTCATTACCCCGTGGACTTCGCTATTGAACTTGTTTCCTAACTTCTCATTACCACCCACCTTTCATTAAGAGCCCGGATCGTTATCTCATCATTGCAGGGTTATTAAATCAAACAATRGCAAAGGCTGTGGCCTTTCTGGGGCTGACTCACCTCATTATGTAACAAGCCCGGGCCGGTGACAACCTCAGCATTGTCATGGTGACCGAAAAGCGTCTAAAAAATTCGTAGGCAGTGGTGTGGTGAAGCGAGATTCCCTAAAGATGCTGGGGARTCTCTTCAAAGTAAAGCAGGAAAACTAAAACACACAGCTCTGGGGGAGAGAATGCGGTGGTTTGTATTTCTGCTGATCAAGGAGGACGTGTTTGTAGGCAGCAGCGGGCACCAGATTAATCACAGCCTGGGAAAAAGGGTAGTTTTTAATCTCAGGTCTCAACCCCCGCTGATAATCAGTTTGGCTGCTGATAGAGGGGCTTTTGAAGCAGCATCCCAGAAGGATCTGCACTGCCTGGGAGGCTCAGATGGAAAGGTTCCCCCGAGGGATGCTGAGCAGGGAGGAGGCGTTTAAGCTCAGCTCCTGCTGTTCTGCCTCCATCCACAGCTAAGTTGTGGGTAGTATTTGGGAAGGCTTTATGTAATTTTGGGGTGTCTACACGGAATTSGTCGCTTTTGACCACTTCCACCACCTGTGGAGAGAAATGGGTGCTCTCACTTGCACTCAGAACAACCCAGCAGCCCTGCTGGTTGTGGGTACTGACTGCAAACCAGGATGAGATGTGTCCTGGAGGAGTTTGTATCCCATGAGCAGGGAGGGAACCTCAGAGCTACATCCAAAACCATTCCCTGCACATCTCAGTGCTCTCCAGCACGAGGTGACCCAAAACACAACTCCTTGTCCAATCCAAAGCCCCATGCAGGGAGGAAGAGCAGAGCTTTGGTGAGGAGCTGCATTTCAAAACCGTGTACGTGCCGAGGATCTTCCCACCCACACCCTCRTGAGCACGTCTGCCCTATGGACAGCCTGCTCATCCCTGCTTCCTCACAGGCTGGGATGATCCAGGCAATGGTTGCCCAACAGTGGCCCACACACCTCATCCCTGGCCAACAAGAGCCACTTTTGGGACCAGCACYGCTCCTGGGRYTGAGCTGYTCCCTTCCCCTCTCCATTCAACTGGTGGAAACCACAAGGCATCCAGAGGTGAGGTCTAAGTGTCCCACTTTTCCAGAGCATTGCCATGTGCTTTTAAACTTGAGACCTGCAGGCACAGCTTTTAGGAGGTCTGTGAAAGACAAGCAGGAGGGGAAGTGTGTGGTCAATTAAGTGAAATTTAGAATAGTAAGGTTCAGTCGTGTTTCTGTACCTTTTACCGAAGTTCTCTACAGTCAAAACCTCTCTCAGGGAACCTCCAATTTCCTAACTCTCCTAACCAAGTTTTGGACCCAAATCACTGGAATCAGATCACACAGATTGCTGGAATGCAGAAGTTAAATAACCAAATTTCCTTATCATGGTTTTCTTAAAATTCTTCTACTTACAGAGCGAACATTTTAATGTATTTAATTCCTAGCAGATGATTTTCATTTGTGCATTTCATTTATTTTTTTTTTCTGTGCCATGGAGACCTGGCAGGGCAAAAATAAAAATGTTAAAATTGCTAAAAAAATATCTACAGAATTTAGTTCTTCTTTCCCTGGTATTTTCCAATCAGACATGAAAAATATTAATGGAAAATTTCTCAGGAATTTTGGGGCAAGCTGAAACAATATGGGGAGCTTGYTGCCAACATATTTTCTCAAATACATTTATATTTTCCAGCCCGCAATGACAAGCTTGTTAGGAATAAAAATATCAATGATGATATAGAAGAATAGTTGTTTAGCAAAGGAGGGCATGAAGAAATTCAGCTGAATGTGTTAGAATTGAGCTAGACATCCAGAAGGATCATCAAAGATAAATAAAGCATAAGAATAGGAAGATGTAACCGCAAGGCATACACAGAGATGCTTGTGCAACATGGGTGGGTAACTGTTTTTGTCATATGAGGGGCTAACAGTTATTAAAGGAAAAAGCAATATCAGCAGAAGTATGAAGCAATCTAACCACAAG